CCCCCCCCCCCCCCCCCTCCCTGGGAATAAGACAGGGGGAGAAAACACCATTATAAACTCATGATACCTGAAGAATGGGATGAAATGCCACGCCCCCTCCTCCCCCCCGCCCCTCCACCCGAATAACATGTGTTAATATGGGTCAGGTCGTAGCGCCAAAGAACATTGCATGGTAATGACATCGGTAATTGGTTGGYTCAACATAGAGTGACTCTAAAGAACGAGGCATAAACAATAGATCTGGTCAATATGTTTTTGGAAATTGTTTGTTTGTGGCGGTTCAAATAAATATGGGCTCTATGTATTTTGTAATGGTCGGCTGAATAAATTCTTTTTCCAGTCAATTTTTACTCTTCTTGTTTGATCTTTTCATTGAAGATAATTTGCATTTTAATTTTACATTATTAGTGCTTAGTTTCTAAAATAATTATCAATCAAAGATTATGTTTAGGGTCTTATAACYGATTCTCCTGATGCTCCAGCAATCATAGCCTGCGTACATCYGGTTTATTTTCAATTTTWTTTTACGAGTAAACGATGGATGAACTCAGGCTACAGCAATCACAGTACCCATAAGCAWGGTATTTGTGTGGTTTGTAGCAATTTTTTTGTAAATATATAAATTTCAATAGAAATTAACATCTCTATCTCTGTGTTGTGTTTTTCTTTCAATTCTGTGAAGTGTCAGRCCATTTGCTTCAGTTCGTTGCGGCTTGTCATGCTGAGATCGGGTTACTGTGCTACTTTCCCCTATACTTCCCCTCTTCTTAGAACGCTGGGGAACACCAGCTATWAATCACTCATTATTGAAGCAAATGTCCTAATACTTCACCTAAACACAACACACATGTAGAAACCACAAAAATACCGTGAGCTTGTGATACATGTGAAGCAATCAAATGGGACTTCGGAGCAATGCCATTGATGGGGACGAAAACAAAAATATCTTGCACTAAGACCGAAGAAAAAGCTGTGAAAAGCTTATCTGTTTAATACTTTTGGCATGTACTTTCGCAGAGGTTAATATTTGCTCTAAGAAAGTCAGCAAAAAGCTGCCTAACCATCCCGACTCCCCTTAAAAATCAATTCGTCCGGCCTTTATTCTAGCTTTCTGCATGGGCGGTTCTATTATCAGGTTGGAATTTTGTTTCGATATCGAAGAACGTTTTGCTAGTTTTGCTATAGCTTCGCACCCAAGAACAACTGCTTTGGTTCCAGTAACGAAAGATCGAATTCTGAACGAATATGACATTGCTTTATAGGAGAAAACTCCCATGCATTATACATATAGAGGATATTTTATGGACTTGTACTGATCAAAAGCTTAAGAATTCAATTATYATTATYAYTAATATCAGCGTTATCACTATTATGTTTAGCTCTGTCAGGTGATGAAATTTCTCATTTCGGTTTATCACGTCCCGCCACGCATGCGGACTGTATGATCTAAAATGAGAAAAATAAATGAAAGATATTAGAAACAATCAAAAACACAATTCCACACAGCCAATTACTACTGACAGAACTACATAAAAAGACTGGTACTCAACAGCCCTCTTGACAAATCCTAGAGTCAACGCACTTGTACCGTGAAACATAATCAAAGAAGTTTATCCTTATCAATCTTCTTGAATTAGCGTACAATCGTCCAACTTTTGTGATAGTACTATTTTATCGTGTGTGCCGGCACTGTGGCAGGTATTAAGAGCTACCTAATAAGAAATGTCCCACCCACAAGAAAAGAAACGAAGAGTTGGTATAGTGCAAGTCTCTTGTGCCATTATCTTTTGCTTTTATGAATTGTTCTGATTAAGTGATAGTTTATCTACTATTGGATACGGCAATTAGTCAGTAAAGAGACACTAATTGTAGTTATTGTTTGTGCGTTAACTCTATATGTACCGACTGATAGTATAGTGACGAGRTCACYGATAAATCGTTTAGTTTTGATTTGACTTGCAATAGCATTTTTTTCACTAAATAACCAACAGTCTCATGTCATTTCAGAAATGAAAAAATCAAAGTTTCCCTCTTAAATGACCTAGCTTTAATGACTGAAAGAGGCTGTCTATATTCAAGTTATTATTAATGAATGAATGAGTGGGGGCATCTAACACAAGACGTGAAGTCGGAGGTGAACCATCTATTTTCTCATAAAATTAGAATTGGAGTGATCTAAAAGAACCCACTGAACTAGTCTATTCAGACTAGGAGTATCTCTCTGAGTTCCCGATGGTGTCAGGTCCTTTCTTTAGCCAGACCGCTTACTCTCCTGTTATTGCCGCCAGCTAGATAAGGAATACTAGTTCTAAGTTTCTAGTTCGAATGGTTATCTAGACAGAATTCTTGTTTTTAAGGACATGGCGAGAGGTGTGGTCTATTTTTTCCTTTATGGTAGGGGTCATAGTATATATATTTGTCCTGTATGAGGGGAGATGCCTTCAGTTCTCCGTTGTTTGGATTCATTTCTCAACCAATATCTTCTGATAAGTATTGGGCAGTCCCGAAGTTCATTGCTTTCCCAATCTAGATACACATCAGTAATATAATCACCTTTAGATCGAWGGTTGGTGAAATCACACAACACACCAAGTTCTTGTATTCTCTTTTAGGTGGAAAAAGAAAAAAACGTCCACATTGTTTTTCAGTTTTGATTTTTTGAAATCCATGTGGACAATTTCCATCCTCCTCGTTATTTTCAGCCACGAGACAGGCAGACCAATTTGAGTCGATTTCTTTAGTCTCAGTGCCTTCAGTACATCTTCCCGTCACTTGATAATCTGCCAGGATAAATGAAAACAAGAGAAATTTACTGTTTTTATTTTAACGTTTTTAAATATAAAACCGAGAAATACGTACAAGAGCCCCMAAAAAATTGTTGTTGTTGTTGTTGTTCAGGTTTAGCTTATTTGGCAACTTGTCGCGTAAAAAAAACATGGGCTCTTTCTTGGTTTTGCAAGGCACCAAACTCACATTGTATTTTTCCTCCTAGACAAATTTTCTCTCTGGTGCTGAATATTATGATTCTATATCACAAAGTACAGGGATTTATTGCTTTCCTTGCTTCTTTGCATGGTGTACATGATATAATGTATCTACCTCTACAACAAACACTGGGGGACAGGACGGACAGTGGCTCACTGGGACAGGACGGACAGTGGCTCACTGGGACAGGACGGACAGTGGATCACTGGGACACTGACCCAATCAAGTGTCCCGGGTCAGTGGGCCAGTGTCCCGGGTCAGTGGGTTTTTGTGCTTGTTCCCAACTCCAGTTTAGGAACTTGCTCAATTCGGCTAGCCTGCTGACGTTTCATTAAAACTCTCTATCTTGACTATGGTGAGATCTAAACAGACGAGATCATTGTTTCTATTATATGTAATACACCATTTTCTAATTCAAAGCGAATAACCGCTGTTTTATTTGACAGCAGAGAAAATGTTGCCTGTACAATAGCGCTAACAATTTACATTTTCCCCGATTTGAGGCTCACCCTCTATTCCCAGAAGGCCCAATCCTTAGGTTAGTCTCAACTCGGGGAAAATGCAAATTTTCAAGGCTATTGTAATAACGACATTTTCTCATGCTCTCTTTTGTATTTAGTAAGATCTTTGCGCAGGAGAATCTGTTGTCAAATAAAGCGCGGTTTTTCGCGCTATGAGTATTGAGACATGTAGGGAGTTCCCTGACTTACCATGCAACAGGACCAAGAGTACAAGAACAGTTAGATAACTTGTCATTATTTTGCTAGCCAAACTCTGAAAGACAAAAAACAATCTATGATCAAAGGCAGAACCTGCCAAAATTATGAAAATGTAGTTATAGTCATGACCTATATTCGACCTATAACCACAGCTATGTAAGATTTTCATTTACAAATCAAATTTTCTCTTCTGCCTC